TACTTGATAGTCAAATGGTCTATGAAGATTATCACCTTAGTGTGAAGGATGTAGGACTGAAACTTCTCAAACCCAAAGACTATTGCAAATAGCTCTTTCTCTGTGGTTGTATAATTAGCCTGAGTAGCATCTAATGTTCATGATGCATCGGCCATGACATGTTGTCTTGTCTCCACTCTTTAAGCAAGAACCACACCCAATGTAAAGTCTGAAGCATCACATAGGAGCTCAAATGGAAGGCTTCAATTTGGCGGTTGAATGATAGGAGGTATAGTGAGCCTTTTCTTCAATTCATCCTAAGCACACCTGCAAGAATCATAAAACACAAAACTCACATCTTCTTGCAACAAGTAAGATAATGGCAATGTTATCTTATTGAAATCTTAAATGAACCTCCTATAAAAGCTAGCATGCCCAAGAAAAGAATGCACATCTTTCACGCAAGTAGGATATGGAAGAGATGCAATAATATCAACCTTAACTTTATCTACCTCATTGCCACAATATGAAACAAAATGTCTTAACACAATTCCTTTCCTAACCATAAAATGACATTTCTCAAAATTCAACACAAAATTGTATTGAATGCATCTTTTAAAAACCCTATTTAAATCAACTAAGCATGCATCAAAAGAATCACCATAGACAATGAAATCATCCATAAATTTCTCCATGCAATGTTCAAAAAAATTAGAAAATATGGAAACCATGCAACGCTGAAAAGTGCTTGGTACATTACACAGGCCAAATGGCATGTGTCTATATACAAATGTTCATGGACATGTGAAAGTGGTCTTATCCTAATCCTCAAGTGTAATACAAATATGAAAATATCCAAAAAAAAAACATCTAAAAAGCAGTAATGGGATTTACCAACAAGTCTCTCAAGCATCTGATCAATAAAAGGAAGAGCGTAATGATCTTTTCTAATCATAGAATTCAATTTCCCATAGTCTATGTAAACCCTCCTGCTATTCTGGACTCTAGTTGGAACTAACTCACTCTCATCATTGTGAATAACAATAATACCAGTCTTTTTAGGGACTACCTGATTCTAGGTATTCAGTTACTAAAAAAATCTAAAATAAAATGCTAGATTTCTACTCTAAAATTGCTAATGAGAAAATGCAATTTATGCCATTAAAACTACCTAAATGGATGCTAGTGCTAATGTCTAACAACTAAATTTTATTATGCAATGCATGAGTCCTAAATTATGATTGGGGGGTTTTGGTTCAATAAAAATGAAATGAAAGCTAAAGAAATTAATTAAGTGACAAAAATTATTAATTAACCAAAAATTAAAAAAAGTTGAATTTAATTATGGTAAATGGGACAACTTAAGACATCACATGGAGTTAACTTTTCCAACCCAATTCAATTAGTTAGACCAAAGGAAAATGATAGGAGAGTAGAATTAATAAATTTAATTACCTAATTAAAGCAAAGTGAACCCATGAGTACAAAGTCTAACACTTAATCCATTAGAGAACTCGTAGTGAATCAAATGCTATAACTATGAATTAGACAAATTAAATCCATGAAAAACCAATGATGATTAAAATAAATATGAAAAATATATTTAAATTATCTAATTGAATAATTAGACAAATTACCAACTTAATTGAACAACCAAGAGGTAAAAGGAACAACCCAAAATTTGCAATAAATACTACAATGACAATTAAATTAACAATGAGAACTAAATCACTAATTTAATTGTCAAAGTAAGGGGTGTATAAACATAAATTTCAGAAATTCATTCAACACAAAATCAATCCAAATATCAATCTAATACAAGTTTTAAAATATTTATAACCTAAAATTAGATTGTCTTCCAACATTACAATTTAGAATCATTTAAAACTAAATAATCTTAAACTCTTGAATTACGAAGATAAATGAAAAATCACTCCCCAATAGTCTTCAAGTGTAAGTTCTAGGCTCTAACTTTCTCCATGTTTATTCCAAATTGCCTCCTAAGCTAGCTCAAGCTCCCATGATTTTTGTTCTACCTCCTTGCATCATAGAGTCCACGGCCATGTTGGAAAAAAGTTGAAATGAATAAAGGATGGTGAGGTGGCGTAAGTGATTGATGGGATCTATGTGTGTGGCGTAGTGGATGAAGAAGATTACTGAATGATGAGTTGGGTTGGTGAATGTGAGGCCATGGATTGAAATGGAGAATGGAGAGGAAAGTAAGGAAATGGGGAATAGATGAGAAGGTGGTTAATGATGATGTGCTGTGGGTGGATGGTGAATGAATATGATAGAGACGCTGGGCATGAGAGATGCCGGATGTAGAAAAAAAAATGGAGAGCCTTCTCAATTCATTTCTGCAGCAGTGTAAACTTGGTGAGAGGACCTGAGAGTTTTGTAAATAATGATTTAATGGTTAGAAGACAGGGTGGAGAGTTTAAAAAAAATATCAACCATTAAATTTAAAATGAGTCTATAAGAAAGAAAGATAAAAAGAAAAGTGCAAGAGTCCTCTAATTTTTTTAATTAGAAATACCCATTGTGTCCTTAATAAACTTTAATAATTCCTTTCTTGTCATGTTACTTCATAATCCTTGGATGCTCTTTTAATTTTCAAGACTCAATCTTCATTATTGAATTTCATTAATTTTATCTCCATGGCCTAAAAAAAATCAAATGCACACATTAATGTAGATTATGTCTAAAATAAATTTCATGTGTCATAAAATATTTCAAATTAATTTTTTTAGCAATTATAATTTTTTACAAAATGGCCAAAAACTCAAATATTATATAATAATTTAAATTAAGCTCAATTAAAGATTGGCAAAATTAACTCATGTTAAAAATAGGAAAAAGAAAATATTCACAATTTAGTCCAAAATTTCTATAATTAATTCAAAATATATTATTCTTTAAAATTGGCAATAATCCAAATAATATCTAATAAACCAAAAATAGCCCAAAATCATCATTAAAAATTAAAATATATGAAAAAGGTGGGATAAAATATATAAAATCTATGATTCATTACATAGCTTATATTTTACAAGAAATTCTTAGGTGAAACTTAAAACACTATATCGTTCATAGTTCATCCAATAAAATTACACTAATTTAAAAAGATAAAGTTTTATATGTCATTATTTTTAATGATTTTTTTAAAAAATAAATGTTTCTTAAATTGCCTTTGCAAAGCACGGCCCCTTCTACTATTTAGTATTTAATCCAGCACAATGAGACCTAAATGCGTCATCGATCCCTGTGAGCAATCGCATATTCAAAACGTAAACCTCCATAAACAAAAATGCCATAACACACACACACACACACACACACACACACATATTATATATAATATTAAAAAAAAATCTAACGCTGATGGCATGAAATTTAATTATTAATTGTTAAATTGAATCTTGCGCGTTTAATTAATTATGTGTCTAATTATTAGTATGTTGTATTCTATAAAGATTAAAGAGCTAGTCAAATGAAAATCAAGACAACAAATTAATGAATTAAAATTGGACGTCAGAATCATCCCATTGAAGCACAGCAGAGTCAATGTTTTGCTCTCTTTTCAGCTTGTCTTTGAGAAACCAATCACATACTCTCCCAGCATTGAGCTCCTCGATTGAACAACCTTCTTGCTCGGAAATCACTCTCAATAGATTTAACGACGATATCTGCCCCCCCAAAAAAAAAAAAAACAGAGTAAAATTCTTATTATTTTTCAGAGTTTATTTAGTATGCTTACAAATTTATTGAAAAATTATACTAATATTACAAGAATCCTGATACCAAAAATGCTTATTGATGCATAGAAATCAGTGGCCAACTATATGACAAAGTGCATATAAACTTTGATATATATATATATATATATATTTGGTGAATAAAAAATATTCTTTTATATCTGTTTTGTAATTCAGTCTGTATAATGTAACAATTTGCAATTAAATTTTTATAGTTTATAAAATCTTTAGTTTACCTTATCCTGTTAAATTTTGATAGTATTTTAATAAATTCTATCAATGCAACTGATTAGTGATTATGCATCTTACTTCTTGGAAATAAAAAGGTCACTTAGTTCATAGAAATAAAAAGGCAAAAATACCTGTTATATATAGAATAAGAGTAATCTGCAAAAATACCTGTTATATATAGAATAAGAGTAATCTATCTATATAGAATAAGATTGATTACTCTGACAAAATATTGAATGTAAGGCATCCTTGATATATCTATGTTAATAAAAACTATACTACAAGAGTTCAGATTAGTCTAGATGAAAAGTGGTATTCCCAAGTTTTCTATGACACTAGATGATAGAATAAAAAGAAAAAAAGATATTAAGGACTACATTAACAATTATTCATCAAATGTTTTTCAATTATTTATATGTAATAAATTGAAATTAGGTGAAACAGTTTAAAAACAAAAGTTTGCCCAGTTAACAAAGACTAATCCTATATATGTTCCATGAGAATGCAGGCTCATGTTGGAAACGAAAATTAAGTTTAAGTAACACATAAAAGATTATTCAAGACCATATACTTGGCCAACATTTTGTCCCATGTAAAAAAAAAAAAAAAAAAACAGCTTTTATTATTGCATTTGGGTTTGAATGCTCGATTATTACTCACAAATCATTACGTGAACCTTTTATTACAACCGGAGCAAGTGAGTATAGTAATCAAGTGAGCCTTTTTTTTTTTTCATTCATTATTTATTCTATCAATTAATGTTTTAAAAATTGGACTGAATGTTGGAAAAAAAAAAACAGATCATGATTTTTATGGTTTAATTAACTGATTGAATTAATAGTCAAACTGGCGACCAAATAATTAAATAAAAATATAAAGATTAATAAAAAATAAAAGAATTTTAAATTAGATAAAAGAAAAAAAGTAAAAGTATATTTAAAAACTAAAAATAACAAATATTTTTACACATATCGAAAAATATGATATAACTTATAATATTTATGCATAACTTATATTTTATATTATTTAGTTTGATTTATTTAATCTTATTTATTTGTTAATAAAAAATATATTTAGTATTTAAGGCTGGCAAATTACGATCACTTTATTTTATTTAAAATAATAGAAAAAAATTATATGTTTTATAATAATAAAAAACAAAAGCAAAATTGGAGTCATTTTCTATTCAAGCGAGCAAGCCAAGCAGTAAGCTCAAGAATTCTAAAATACAGACTATATTATTCTTCTATCCTCCTATATCAATCTACTTCCCGTTTAATAATATAATAATTATATAATGTTTCATTTTTTTAATTTTTTGGATATCTACCCACTCATCTCATCTCCCATCTCACTTTCCTTTCTCTCTTCCATCTTCAACTTTTCAAAACATCACTTCACTCTCCCATAAATCTCCTGGATGAGCTTCCAGTTCCAGCTATTGTTGTGGATACAATGGAGGTAACATGGTTTATTTCTCGCTTGTTTCTCTCTCCATTTATCTTCTTTCTTCATCTCCTCAAGAATATACTTTCCTTTGCGTCTCCGCTCTCTCTCTCTCTCTCCATCCCCCCCGCATAGTTTCCAGTTCTTGTTGCTCATACGGCTCTCAATAGCGACGAACTTGATTGAGGTGAAATATGAAAGGAGAGCACGAAGGTTCTGTTGAAGAATGGAGAGTGGAGACTGAACAAGACAACGAGTGAACAACAGAAGAAGTGAAAACAGAACAGAACGCGTCGAGTGATCATTTTTTTCTATCTGTGACTCGCCTTTTCTCGCTTTTGACCCGGTCTGAGTTCCTTTTTAAATTTGGTTCGCTAAACCTGCCCATTTTAATAAGGTTCAACCAGGTCCAATTATCTAAACGGTCTAATTGGCTAGATGGAGCCATTCTTAAAAGCAGGTGATAGCTGGACCGGTCCAACCATCTACAATTCGGTTGTAAATATCAATAAATAGCTTTAATGCAGGCAATCAGAAAGACAAAATGGATTAAAAAATAAAAATAAAAATAAAAATAAATTAAATTATCTAATCTTTTATGATTAACATTAAAAAAAAAAAAACGCAACTGTAATCATAACTACCTAGACTGAATTGCCCTTCCGTTGATAAAAGATATATTTTCTCCACTCTTCACCATAATATTTTCCATTATCCACATCTTAATCATATTTTCTTCTCTTTTTCTGTCATAAATTATAAAATATTTTTAAAAAAAAATTATTTTAAAATGTAAAACATTTTAAATAAATTAAAATTTTATTAAATATATTAATTTTAATATTATTATTTTTTTATAATTAATTTTTATTATTTTTTTTAATATGTTAAATGATGGATATGTTAAAAAATTTATATTTTTATTTTAAAAAAATAAAATTATTAAATATATTTAATAAATTTTATTGATGCGTAAAATTTTATTTAAAAATATTTTGTAATTTGAGATGAAAAAAGTATTTTTTTTTTAATCTATTTTATTACTTTTTTTTTAATTTAGTAATATTGTTATTCTCCCGGCATTTATTCATGTGGAAAAGGAAAGAAAACAAAGGAATAAAGAGGGGAATATTACTGTTAAACGGCAAAGAAAGCGTTCGTGAGTGCTGAGTCCAGAAATCTCCACCAATCCAGCTTCCTCCAGCGTCAAGAACGACCGTCTCTCGCTCTCCTTCTCTGCCTCTCCTCCATTGTTAATGCTCCTGCACTTCACTATTTTCCTTCTGTTGCTTTCCCCAACTTTCAAGCTCCTGCACGACGTCGTTTCTGGCTTCGTCACGTTGTTCTCGAAGACGCACGCCGATGGCAGGCAACTTTTATGACAGTGTTGAACCGAAATCATCGTCCCTCTATTTATTTTCCTCTTCTTTCGATGGATTTTGAATTGAGGTTACGAATGTGAATGAGTGGTTTTCGAAATGCGGAGTTGATGTTATATGTGATGTGATGGCCTTATCTCTGCTTTATTTATCTTGTGGACGAGAACGGTATTGAATTGAAAGGGCAAGAATTCTGTTGACCCGACCCAAGTTTGCAGTGGCCGTGTCGCTTTGGTCTTGGGCCAGATTAAAAGTTGGCCTGTGTTTCCGAGTAACGGCACTTGAAACTTTTCCTATCCATACAGGCAAAATAACAGCCAAGAATCATTGATGGAAATTCATATCAACCAATGATCAATTAACTTAAAAATTATCATACAATTCTTTAATACTTGATTAATATTAGTTTGTTATGTTAAAAGAAAAAATTTCCCTTAAAGTAAACATAAAAAAAGCTACCCCCATTGTTACCAATAGTCAGAACACTGCTTGACTTTTTGTTGGTCGTATGGTTGTCGGAGCCCCTTTATTCAAAAACAGAGGCCAACTTTTAATTATACATGTTAATCTCTTATCAATAAATATTCATTTGTATTTTAACAACAACTCATTATAGATTAATAACAATCTAATTGACTTTAACAAGTTATAAAAACGGATAAGACGGGCTTAATTATACAAGTGTTACTCTTTTATCAACAAATATACATTTAGGTTTTTCACAATAATTTATTTAAAATTAATAACAATCTATTCAGGTTTTAACAAGTTAAAAAACTAATAGGATGTGCTTAATTATACATGTTAGTCTTTCATCAATAAATATCTGTTCGGATTTTGACAACAACAACTTATTCATGATTAATGATACATTCAGGCTTTTAACAAGTAAAATGCATGATTTTTAAAACTCTCAATTTATAATTGTACATATCAAATTAACAAGTAACATTAGTAAAATAAAAAATGTCATTCAAGAATTAATAACACACTGTTATATTATAACATGAAAGTGGTTAGAAATTTAGTTTACTATTTTTATTTATTTTTTTCTATATATAATTAAAAAGCTTGGCGGCTTAATGGCCACGAAGTCTTTTTAGGTGGCCAAGGAATTAAACCAATTATTCTTTAAATAAAAATGTTGTTGGTGCTAGAGTTTTGGTGATTGACTGCTGGAGACATTGTTGGTGGTAAGGGCTCCAATGACCTCACCCCTGGTAAGGGGTCTAGCAGTGATCCAGTGATAGTGGGAGGTAGCATTGTTTTTTAACTTTAGAGACAATTTTATTTTTTAACATAACAAATTAATATCAGTTGAGGGCCAAGGGATTACAATGTTATTTTTATATCCATTGATCCTTGATTGATATTAATTTCTGTTAGTGCTCCTTAGTTGCTATATTTTCCCATTTGTATTTGCATAATATACACGTAAACTAATTAATATATATATAAGCCAAATCTTCATATCTCCTAATTCTAATGATTGAGGTGTTATTAATTTTACTATTTTATAATTTCTAATTTAATCTATGGCTTTGTTTTATTATCCAAGGTTGCACTCTTACTTCCCACATTATTAGTATACATGCCATCACGTTATCATTTTGTTAGCCATGTCAAATTAATTTCATGGTATAATTTATTTTATAAGATTAAGGGCTATTTAAATTAGTCTATATAAAACGTTAAGAGTCAAATGATAGAAATTATATAATTTAAGGGATAACTCTGCAAAATTTTATAGATTAGAAGCTATGATATCCCACTCCATTATTTGATTTACTAACAACTTTGAATTATGATAAATTTAAATTATGATATTTTTAAACGCAGGAGCAACAAAATTTAGTAAAAATAACATTTATGGCGAAAATTTTAAATAAAATAAATTTAATAGGAAGAATAACATTGAAGTCCTACATAAAAAAATTAATTACTATAATGTCTATTGATAATTGGACTAAATTATATTGACAACACAATACAATTTAATTCAATTATCAAGCCTTACAGTAATTAATTTTCTTATATGAGACTTGATTGTAATTCTTTCAATTTAATACACATATGTATCCTAAAAAAATTAATTAATCAATCGAGGGAGAACAAGAGAAAGAACAAAAATGAATAGAATGTCAACAACAAACAAGGAGGTTTATAATTAATATTGGTAACATGGATCAACTGTGAGCCCAGCATGATAAGTACATGACAGTCCTCAAAGCCTGCTCGGTCTGCTTAATCTTCTCATCAGAATTTCCAGCCGTAGAATCAAAAGAACTAGAACTAGAGACTGCCCTTTTCTGTAATTGCTTCGAAGAAGAACAAGAAGAATCCATGAGCGATCTAATCGTTGATAAAGAGGCCCGATCTTTCATTTCTTCTTAGGAAAAGATATATATATATATATATATATATGGAATGATGAATCAGAATCATCAAAAAGAGATCTCTCTTCTCTATATATACACACACAGAAGAAAGAATAAGGAGGTCTATGGCTTTTATAAGGAAAATAAAATAAGTGGGGTTGAACCAGAAACGTTTAAAGAGAGAGAGAGAGATGGGGATCAGTTTGATTAAAAAGTGCGGGTAAGAAGGAAGGAAAAGGAACGAAAACCAGGAGCTGAAGCTGATGGTCTCTGAGGATGACACTCTTACCGTGGGCGGAAAGATACGTGTTCATCAAATAACCAGGTGTGATGTTAGCACGCACTTGTAGGGCTGGCCTATATGTATATATGGCTTTTTTGGCTGTTGTTGATAAATAAAAAAAAATTATATATATATATACATATTGTGTATATATATATATATATATATATTCCTTTTAGATATTTTAATCGAATCTCACTTATCAATAAAGTAATTATTTACTTTCAAACTAAACCTATATTTTCATATATATTCCTATTAAATACTCTACAATAAATAGAAAGTCACTGTCAATAAAAGTACTTTTGAAAAAAAGGCAATGATTATATCTCAAAAGACTAAAAATATTTTATATTTTTGAACGGAGGAAATATATATATATATATATATTATTTTAATTAATATTATTGTACCATTTTAATATTACTATTTAAGTTGAAGAGAGGAAGAATATTTCCCTCACAGCACATGGTACATGAAGTCAAAGAAGCTGTGAGCTACTACCATACCATTGTTATTGTTATGGCCTGGGAAGATGACATTGAGAAATCTTGTATGTTCAAGGGTCAAGGTTATTTTTATTCTTGAATGTTTTCCAAAGAGCATTATGTATCATGTATTGATAGGTGGTGAAGCAATTTTTTTTTGAACTATTTTTCTGAGGAGTAAAAAATCTATTTTGTTGATCACCCATTAATTTTGCCATTTTCTATTGACTTGGTATGTGTGTGGTGTAATGTCAACTCCGACATTATCAGACACACAAAACACCAAACACAAAACAATGCTATGATAATTGAGGTTAAACTAATCGCATAAAAAATTAGTTACCATAACCCAAGGATTAAAATAATATTTAAGAAAAATAGGATTCTAAGAAAACCCTTTTGAGAGATTGTTTGAGCTCAAACTAGAATTAGAAACAAATAAACAAGGCAACAAAAGCACGAAAATTTATCACATAAAAATAATAAGTAGAACTGAACAATTTTTCAACTATAGGGTGCAGTGCGTCATGGTACAATGCGTTGTCCGCCACGGCGGACTGCACAGAGGGAATTGTCCCTCTTTGTGCCTTACACTGTAGTGTGATGGTTAATGCGCCGCAGTGTGCGACCACTTGTGACAACAAACTGTTATCATGATAGCTTTTTGGGCCAACTTTTGAAGTGTACCATTTCGCCATCTGTCTTTTGATTCGAGTGATTCAAGCATCTATACATAACTCTTAGAGTCACCTAGCTATTAGCACAAGTCTCACACCCAAACACTAATCCAAATAAGATTTGGACACCTAAACCCAAAATGATACTTTTTCTTTCAAAGCCACTACAAAGGTGTTTAAATTCCCAAACCAAGTGCCGATAACCATAGAACCATCTGAATCAACTCAAATGGACCCTAAACAACCTATACAAGCATTCAAATCACTATAACCACAGTCCAGACAAGTTTTTGCCACCAAAACCCTAAAGTTGACATAAATCTCACAAAGGGGAAAAACATACAACAATCTTTCAAATGGGCAAACTAACATATGAATAATCACAAAACTAGCAGTTGCACTAATATCTCAACCTCTCACATCCATTACGATACAAATACAGCATCCAGGCCGAGATACCCATAGTTAATAACAGAAATCATGTAAGTGCATCACAAATGATATATGTCCTAAGTTGGCATATAGATACGAGATTTGTTACAAACTAAAAGGGAATGAAAGGGGCTCTACAATCACTGGTTAGTCCCCTCAATGCTTAGTCACACACTCCTTTCCTTTGGCCCTATTGGAGCCTTCACCTATAAAATGTAACCACAAGGTGAGTCGAGGACTCAATAACCAAATAATCTAATCAAAATACTCACGTGTGAGAACAATTTGTGCATATGTGAAGTGGCATTCAAAAACATATAACAAGTCATATAACCACACATATGATTGTAGTATAAAATGTATTATCATCACACCACCTTATACCTTCCTTATGTCTTTCGACTGAATTTGTGGGCTAATAACTCGATGTGATTGAACTGGCCCAAGCTCATCAATAGTAGGAGGCAGCCTCAGCCAAGAGCACCTTCGCCCATTATGGACCACAAATTCCCCCTGTCTTCGAATACTAAGAGTGTTAATGTCCAAACTATCTCGTGTAGTACTGAGACTTCTAAATAATATAACATTGAGTACTGGGGCCTCCATAATGCTAGTGTACCATATAAATTTCCAAATAATGTCTCCAACAACATATTAGGGTGAACTCCTACCCTCTCACAATAATCATGCCAAACATACTTAAGGATTCCACACATATCCATGACATAGATTTTTTCATAAAAATGCTCATTTCTATTTAAACCATAGAGTTTCGCAAATACTTATAATTAAAATAGCATTTAGCTTTTAAAAACCACACCACTAAAACATAAATTGCCATTCCACTTCACATAGTTTCT